TTTGAGACGCATGTTCCATAAATCAGTTTTTTTTCTTTCGATTAAATCTGATACTACATTCAACCAGGTTCATCTCAAACCAGTTTTGGCTACATTGAAACTGGTTTATGTGCACTGAACTTATGTTCTGTTACAAGTTTAAAGCAGTTTGTGTGTAACTTCTGTACCTAACCCCAAAGTCAACAGTCCAGGAAAGAGAGCGGCTTCTTCTGTATTACTTCTCAACATGGCTGCATACATTATATTCAGCACTTGACTTCTCTTCAGCTGGATTCTAAAAGACTAATTGGTTATATCACTACCTCAATTAAATAATTAAAGAAAAATTGAAAAAATACATTTAACCATAGAAAACAAAACAGAATTTGTGATAAAACGGCGATAGTAATTTCTTGCTTTGATTTTGTGTTGCTGTTTCCTGCCAAGCCTCAATAGTGGGAGACCATTTTCAATTTCACTACTTTGCATCTCATTAAATATGGCCTATTAACTATTGCAGAGCTGCTGCAGTTCAAGGGTCTTAGTGTTTTGTATTACTTCACATGTCCTTAAGCACGTATAAATTTAGTTCTTAATTTATATTATGGTTAAAAAATATTGTCAATTCAGAAACAACTCTTCTAAATTTTATTTAAATGGATCCAGGAAATCATTATGGCTAAAGATCAGCCTAAGCACTCTTAAATATGTAGTATTACATTAAAATTTTAGATAAAATAAAACTGCATCAAAATATAGCGAGCCAGATCCTTAGCTGACGTGAATCAATCTAGCTCCACTGAAGTTAAGGAATTGGTTGAGCATTCTTACTATTTACTGACAAACTGAAAGAAGTAATTAATTCTACTAAATTTGTAGTCTATTCTTTTCAATACAAAATCTAACTATATGGCAAACTGCATCAATGTATAAAAGCATCCAGAGCAAAATGACCAGCCCAAGCAACATTACAAAAATGTCTCAAAGTATACGAGCTTAAAAATGCATCAAAAAGAAATCACAAAATCAGCTCTTTGAAAATGTCTGAACAGATGTCAAAACATATTTCAAACATGCAAATTCTGCTAAATCAGTGCCATTTTGGAAAAAATAGTTAAATAAATTATATCAAATTATAATAGAGAATAATAGGAAAATGCTTAGATTTAATGTAACACGATGAATGCATAAGTTATTCTTATTTAGATTCTAATAAACATTACAAATGCAATATAATCTGTCAATAAAAATGTTTCTATAGATTCAAAATACTTCAGTATTATAGATCTACCTGTACACTAGTGAAAGAGACAGCACTTCAGTACTTTGTTGGGAAAACATCCAGCATAAATTTCACGTTCTGCATTTAGCCAGATTTGAGCTTCTCAATATGAAGAGGAATATGCCAAGAACATGAAACACATAAAAGACTGTAGCAAAAGGGAACAGCAAAGAAAGCAGCAGAGAAAGGGAGGGCCATTCTAGCTAACCTGCAGCTGTATCCGCAAGCTGTAGGGAATGGGGTGTTTGTGACATCCTCTGGCTCTTCAAGTATGGAAAGAAATTTCTCCAGAGAGCACTGGCAACAGCAAGGTGGTGCTCTTTAGCCACTAATGGAAGCTGTGTGTTTGGGCCCAGATTTCCTCGTTGAGGCCCCTGACTTGCACATTTGTGCACACTCCTAATAGGAAACAAAAGCAATGTCAACAGTCAATAAATGGAAAAAAAAACTACCCCAAAAACCCAAACCCATATCCTTTTTAAATACATTTATAAGTTCTTTAAATTGTATAGTCTGAGAACTGAAAGACCATTTTGTATAATTAAATCCTTTATGAAAAGATATTATGCGTACTAGTTATTTGACGGATGAATGATGGCATATTAAGCACCATAAAGTTAATGTTAATTACTAATGTCAACCATTAATTATATGCTTTTTAATATGTCAGATCAAAATGAGAAATAGGCAGCTTTAAAAAGAACGTTTGCATTTTGCAGCTACAAGCATGACAAGCAAGTCTGCTTACAATCTAATGCCAGGCACCTTTTTTTTTAATTTGGTCTCTAAAAGTTTCAATGTGTACATGTACAGAAAGAAAAATAAAGAATCACAATTGCTTCTGCTTAATTTTAAGGCTTTCTATTAACGCTTTTTTTTTTTTAATTTGCAAAAGTTCAGTAGAAGCATGCTTGTTTAGAGCAAAAAAATGATGGTTTGCTGATACACTGCAGACAATTAGCTTTGATAGCAATGCCCACAGCTTTGTTAGTACAGTAAGGACAAAAGTTACCACTGCACACAACTCCCATCCCTTCCTGAGACGATGTGGCATGAATTCAATAATGCACTCAATTTTCTTTGATTCTTCTAGTACCATTCCTGCTACTTAATCTAATTTGGAAGTTGTGACTTTCTAGAGGTTTAATAGAGATATGTCTGCAGGGAATCAATGTTGTCAGAGAAATGGTGGTGGGGGGG